AAAAAAAATACATAGGGGATCATTTGTCTGATTTTTATAGTATTACCAGCCCTTTGCCTTACAAATAACATAAAAACTATTCAAACATAATGTGTTTTACTCATCTTACATCTCTGTTCTAGGCTACAATTTAGTATTTTTTTAAATTTTTCTTTATTAAGTGAAATGTGCACTAGTTAAGCTTTTAGAAAAGAAAGTCCATACCACCCGCATTAGCCATAATGGTCCTTGCTTACAATTGGCATCAGAAGGTGCCCAATCCTGACTTGAGCACCATGTAAAAAAGGAATATAACCTGTTTTCTGGTTCAATAAATAAAGGAAAGTTCCAGGCTATGGCATGTTCCACCAACCCCTTAAAACTCATCATCTGAGCTCAAAAGCAGGGTTTTCTCATTATCCCGGACACCAGAGGTGCTATGAGAACGTGAAATGATGTGATTGCCATTCCGCCATGGTGGTCCATGTTCCAGGGTGGACTGCTGTGTGTATTGCTGGTAGGCTGGGGAGAAGTTATGTATAGCATCCTGGACGATGTCGTGGGGGTTCATGGTCTCCTTAAGGCTGCTAGAGATGCTCTTCATTGGGGCACACCGTCCTAGAAAGAAACACCGTATATGAAAAACAGAAGCTTTTCTCCAGTTATCCCATAAACCTTTTCAAAAGCTACCTACAGTAGTTTCCCCTGGTGCCTATATATTAACAAGGGCAGAAATTAGGCAGGAATTAATTTTGACAACTAAAGAAGTTTGGATACTATCTCAAATTAGGAGTGAACGTACTTTAAGTATACTTTGGGGATTTTTTTTCCAGTTCTTTCATAAAAAATATCGACTCCAACTCTAAATCTTATCTTCGTAAGCTGCTCAGAGTCAATTTACTTAAATGAATAGATAAAGTTGTAAAACTTTATTTATTTAGCATATAATTTGAAGTGAGCGGGTGATTTTTTTGGTTGCTCCTGTTAAAAAAAAAGGGGGGGGATCTTTAAGTTGTGAATCGCGTAGAAATCTATCAAAAATTAGAAAATCTGTATTTTGCCTACCAGTGGTGTAGATCAGGGTTCACAACCCCAAGGCCATGGACCAACCCTGGTCTGTGACACGCCAGAAATCAGGCCATGCAAATGAGCAAAACCCCATCTGCACCTGTGCGGAAAGTAGGCACCATGCAAAACCTCTTTCTATGGAACCAGTCCCTGGCATCCAAAAAGGTTGGTGACCGCTAGTGTAGGTCACATACTGTTACAGAAAAATAATAATAATAATGCCTTTGCTACTTTTATTCACAATATATCGATTATGATTGAACTAAAATATGAAAATAAAAAGATCATCGGGATAATTGACACTATGTCAATTAAAGAAATAAAAGCAGTTATAACCTATAGTATAGATAATTTCCAGAGGTGTGGACATATTATAGCTGGTCCTTGCTTAGCATCCATAATTGAGACCTGCAACTCCATTTATAAGTGAAACAGCAACTGACCGCAATGTATGATTTTACTTCGGTGTTTGCCCTTAATTCCACCGGAAGTACACAAACGGCAAATCACGTGACTGCAGGATGCTGTGATGATCATAAATTGATTGCAAAACTGTTTTTTTTTAAACCAGCATAAATTTAATGGTTACTAAATGAGGCAGTTAGTAAGCAAGGATTACCTGTAATCTATTGCAGCAAAAGCAATAGAATTTCATATAGTCTTATATACTAATACTTTGCTACTGAAGGCATATTGAGTCATCTTGTGTACTAACCCATCAGAGACGCTGATTTCCAGCTGTAGAATTTTTAAAGTTTTCATTACAGCTGTTCCTATCAGGCAGAACTTTTGTAGTGTTCAGGAAATATGTTTAATGAGGACTTTCACTATTTCCCCAAAGTAGAAATATTTACTGTTTCTAACATGATTAAGGAGAAATAGTGCAGGAAGCTGAAGTGTCTCAACAACGAAGAAACAAACAAGTGCAGAGAGAGCTTGGCACCTACCATATGGACCATATGATGGAACCGCTGCGCCAGATACCAGAGCCCAAAGCAAGGGAAAGAGAAAAGGAGGAGAGAAAAAAAAGAGAGGAAGATATGGGAAACAACAGTCTGAAAAGGCAAGCAATTCTTAGGTTGTATAGCAAGTTGAATTCTTTACTCTCACCCTCCACCCAATTTCACCAAAGGTCTTGACCCACAACTCTTACTCACAGTAAAAAAAAACCAAAACTATACAATCAATTCTGAACAGCACAATAGAAATACCAATAAAGGAGAATATTTGTTGCTCAGGGTTGAAATGAAAAGGGGGGGGATCCTTGGTGCTCTCTGATCTTTGTTGTTTTGTTGCAGCTGTTTCATTACTCAAACTAGATAACATCATCAATGCTAGTAAGGAGTGGGGTTTGCTCTTAATTTATATTCCAGTGCCTTGCCCTGTCCATGTTGGTCGGAGTGATCTTGGTTATTTTTTGATTGGCCTGATTACTATTAGCTTGTTTGGCAGTTCCTTGATTGGGATACCAATTACCTCTTTGACACCAAGACCAACAATCAAGAAGTAAACAATATTGCAATCAAGGAACTGACAAACATGCTAACAGCAAATAGACTAATCAAAGAACAACCAAGACCATTCCCAGCAATGCTCAGCGGACAAGCCACTAGAACATAAACTGAGAGCAAACCTCACTCCCTACTAGCACTGATGATGTTACCTAGTTTGGGTAATTAGACTGCTGCAAGAAACCAAGCACAGAGAGCCCTTATAATAGAAATAAAAGCACTCACCCCATTTTTAATATTAAAAAAAAAGTGAACACAAGACTTGTAATGCTGTCTGTATTTACATCCTTGGAGATATGTTCTAGTGGCAAAATACTACTTGGCTTTCCTGTGCCTTCACTATTTCTACTCTCTTCATTTTAAGACTATTCCAAAATGACTTCTCTGATTTTACACAGATGCACAATTCAACAGGGATGTGCCTTCTAGTCGCCTTTTGCTCAGTTCATAATCTGTGCAGGGGAGTCCTTATAAGTCTAGAAAGACTTATGGCAGAGCTCACAGGACAATGACCTCTAATCCTACATAAAATTGTCTTTCATCTCTACGTAGCTGTGTTCAGACATGAAAATGAGATCTGGTACTAATCTATGTACAAATACGACAGAAGGAAAACACATTCTACTTTTCAAATGAAGTATTCAGAGAATGAATTAAGTCGGCTTTTTATTGCAAATTCAGTAATGACCTCCATACCTTGCGCATCAAGGTGCTTGTCTGCATAGACCTTGTAAGTGAATGCATGCCGCAGAGCAATAGCTGCAAAGAACATTTCCACGCAGATGATGAAATCCTGATAGCCAGCCGCTACGGTCCCCACAGATACATTGGCTGCGCGGATCTTAGGGATTGCACCACACTTCTCCAAAATGGCCAATAGCATCCCTGAAATGAAAGAAATATTCTGAAGTCTGTTTCCCCCATGTATTCATTTTTATGTTTTTAATGAGGATTGTTAATTTCTGATATTTTAGTACAAGCATTTCTCACTAAGATTATCACTGATTTTGGTTCATGTTTTCATTCATTTTAGTTATATTAAACCTTTTTGCTTAATATATTTTGTTTCATTCTCCCTCCCTCCATGCTGTTTCTTTCATCTTGAAGACACCGAGTAATGGTTTTAAGTTCTAAAAAAACAGATTCACACTAAAAAAACAAAAGATAAGAATGTTTTAACAATGAAGCCAATTATCTAGAAAGTTATCCCATTTGAAGTAGTCAAGAAAACCCTGTGTAGATGATGTAATTTGGATTATTGCGCGAAGCAAAGAGTTGGACTCTAACCCTGGACAACTAGCTTGTGTAGATGATGTAATTTGGATTATTGAGCAAAGCAAAGAGTTGGACTCTATGATTTAAATGTCCCTGTGTTTTTATTCTACTACAGTTTATTCCAAATCTCCAAACAGAATATAACAATATAAAATAGAGTGTAAATTATACTTAGTGTTCAACTTTATTTTTAAATTCTGGGTGCAATTAGTAGCAAAAACAAAAATGAAAATAAATTAACTAGTTAACTGTTAAATGTTTGGTGGAAGAGGTGTATTTTTACTTCTGCCTAAACGATGGGAGCCAAATGCAGCTCCTTAGGGCAGTCACTGCATACAATCACCTAAAAGAAAGTTGTAGTTAGCCAGAATTGTGCAAAAGTGCTCCTCACCTCAATTGCAAAATCAGTGATAGTTGGGGGTCACGGAGAACTCCCAAACTGTAAATCTACTCTTTCTGGGGGACTCCAACCCAATCCAGAGATAATTTCAACCCCAGAGTCCAACTTTCTCCTTATCAAGAGCACTTCTGTTTTCCATGTGCTGAATACCAGCTCGTTATTGAGATTTAGTCAGTGTTAAAAGGTAATTATTTCTTCTTTGGAAATAGAACATAGGGAGCAGTTGAGCTGACTAGCATCCTATCCCAAATAGCATAGGAAATAAGACCTAACTCATGCCCTATGTTGTTAAACCACTGTTTCTCTAGAACCACCTTCTATACTTCAGATACAATAAGGATCTGAACCACTGCAAACAACAGTCCATGTCTCATGGCCTCAAAGAGTAAACTTAAAAAAAAATCAGTTCATATCAGAATCGGTTTAGAATCTGTTTAGACACTGCTGATGATATATCTTTAAAAAGTTTTTAAAAAGACTTCTATGCCTGTTTACACCATCCAGAGTCTGGAATGATGACTAATCAGACTCAGAAAAGTGATTATATAAGACGTGATGTCAAGTTTTCCCTAACCAATCCAGGTTTTCATTTGTTATGTTTTTATGCTAATTTGAACATAAAGCATAGATATGGTGACCAGTGATTGATTATGTATATTATGTACTAATCCAGAAGGGATGCTAAATTCAAATGGGGATTTATTGCTCAAACTACAATGAATAAAACTTAAGTATATAGTTCTAAAAATTGCTGCAGGATTGATTTGTTCATTTAGCATCTTCTATTCATAACAATTGGAAATAATCTGATTCTCAAACCACCTGGCACTTGACTGAATGAATTGCCTTAATACACCAGAGAGGAACTAAGTGAAAGGATTAAAGAAGTGGTCTGATTTATAACTGAATTATAAATGAAGTTAACATATAAAAATGGCATCGGAAATAAAAAAAATCAAATGTAACATTATTCAATCATAATGACCTACTAAATGTTCCGAATTATTTGTGCTTGCAAGTTGTAAGCGTGTACATTAATACCTCACCTTGCCAAAAAGACAGGAAAATAACAGACTTGACCATGAAAAATTTTAGGACAGGACTATAAGGACTGAGAAGTTCACGGGTGGCAAAATAGAAGAGGAAGAGGGCATACAAAGCCAAGCTGACTGAAATATTGTAAATGATTGTCACATAGAGATATCCACTTCTGACACTGGAAAGGAAAAAAAAGAACATGTCAGATGTTTTCAGTATTGTTTATCTTAAGAAAAGTTAGAGTATAGACCAGTGATGGCTAACCTTTTTGTTGTTGCATACCAACAGTGCATGCATGCATGTCCACACTCATAATGCAATGCGTGCATGACACCCCACCCCGCTCATGTGCGGGCAACCCTCCCCATGCCTCATTTTGGGCCTAGAAGGCATCCCTGCAGCCTCCTGGTACCATAAATGGGGTGCAGGAGTACTCTGCAACCCCCGTTTCCTCCCCCCCACACGCATGCACGTGCATCTCCTGTGTGTGCCCCACCCCCACGGATGCGCAGCAGAGTCCCATAAATCAGCTGGCTGGCATGAGGCAGGCGTGCATGTGCAATTAAGCTGAGCTGGGGAAACAGCCCGCTTGCCCGCAGAGCCCTCCATGTGCCACCTGTGGCACACTTGCCATAGGTTCTCCATCACGGGTATAGACTTTCTCTTAGCCAAATATATCCGCCAGTCACTAAACAATGAACCATTGCAAAGAGGCATACACAGATTAATTATTTCAATAATATTATAGCAATCCCAATTAAAAATATCTTGAATTGTCCTAAAAAGAGTAAATAGTGATGTTTTATTGAACAGTGAAAATGAAAATTAGGGAAGTGGACTTATGAATGAATCTGCATTCATACACTATGAATACTACACTATATTCAAAGAGTACAATCAAAGAGATTGTATTACGGCAGCTACATTTAAGTCAATGACTGCTGGCTTATACCAAAAGGCTCCTTTTTTTTGGTCCCACTCATTTGTTACACTTATATGAACTTGGTGAGTCCGTCATGCCTTAGGATTTGGATGACACGAGGGTGTTAATAATGCTTAACTGTTATTTCTCCCTGATGCCAGAATCAGGTAGAACTGTGCAGATGCTGGGACAGTGTCTGGAGACAACAAGAAGTCTACGGAGTTATCACAGAAAGGACAGTTTTTGTTTGTTGGAACAAATATGATTTAGGAATTACATTACTGGTATACTGGTTTTAAAGAAATAATATTTATAGGCAACATATATCCAATCCAAAATCAAGATGTTGGTAATAATGCTCAAATCTGTAATGCTATGAAGCTTTGGCAGATTCTGTATGCATCTGACGTATTAAGCTCTGCTAAGTGGTCTTGCTCTGTATAGCATCATTGGGTACAGTACAACATGTGAAGTTTTTGACTGTGGCATCTTAATTATGGAATGTAATTCACCTTTCCAGAAATTAAGTCACTGCCAACACTTCTTTTGTCCTGAAATCAAATGAAGATAATATGATACTCGTCTAAGTTTTGAATTTAAGATCCGCTCCATTTATATTCTGATTTATTGTCTTTTGTTTTATTCTGTCTTTATTCTAAAGCACTATATTCGCATAAATATAAATATATACCATACATAATATAGGGCCTGGAAGTATCTGAAGAAATACTAATTACAGGTGAAAAAACTTGCATAGAATCAATATACTGTTTCCCCCCCCCCATCTTGTGCCCATCCAGTCTCCAATAATATAAAATATAATGCCAAAATAATTATTTGGCTCTGATCTTTCAACTCTACATCTAATACTATTATTATTATGCTACTCTCTCTTATGCTCATAATCTTCTTTTGTTCTTCCAGTTCTTACGGCAAGAATTCATTTTTACTAAAACTAGTTCCCATTCAAAGCTTTGTTTTGGTGGTCAGTGATTGAAATAAAGACTTGACTTGTTTCCACATGTCAGGTATGTGTTATTTAACAAAGAATGTCTTTACAATCAAACTATTTACTTACTCAAAGTCTCCATCCTTGTACTTTCCAAATGCCTGAAGAACAACTGTAATAATTGCCATGAGGGGCTTCACCACACAGAATTGTAGTGTGGCCTGGAAGAAAGGAAAACAGAAAGGCAGACAAAATGAAGATAAGAAATATACTGGTGTAGACCTCCTTAATCTTTTACTTTATGTGTTAATTCCCAATATTGCTGTCTTTCTGCTTACAATGAAACATGGGAGGAGGGAGGGGTATGATTGGAATGTGTGGGAAGCTGGGAGGGAGGGAGAGGAATTTAAGTTAGCCATTTGCAGCTTGACAAAATTGTACAACCCCAAGGTTGTGAGCTGAAGACTTTCGAAAGGTGCAGACTGTTCTCCCAAAATAAAATGCTTGACATGGATTGGTGGACAATGAACACCGGGCAGCCGGGAAATCATAATACTGCACTTCGCATCAAAAACTTAGAACTGGCTTTTCTTCTCCCGTGCCTGTATGGATCTATCAGTAAAGTTTTAATCTTAATAATAAAAATGTCCCAGGAGTTTCTTTTGCTGTCCATGCCAGTGGGATGGGTGACAATTGCCCACCAGCAGGATTGGGAATTCTGAAACTGTTGTCCCAGTGCATCTCAACGGCGCAAAAGTAGGTTCTTTAAACTGCTCTGATCACCTACTTTTTTCATTCTTCTGTTTAAGCACATGGTTTGAATACTAATTAACTGTACTTAAGGTAAAATATGTCTGATGTGACTTCTCTGAATTAAATTCTAGAAGAGACAATCAGACTTTGCTTCATGCTTGATTCCCAAAGAGGAAAAGGTGGGAAAAAAGTCTATCTTGGAGGAGCAGAACTATAGGCTATAAGGCAGTTTAAGAAATGTGTGAGAAACCATTTCTGTAGCACATATCCATGTAAATTATTCAAAGCTGAGTTCAATTCAAAAGCAAATTTTGTGAATAAAGTACACAAAAAACTTCCTTCAATTCAAAGAACCCTTGACTATACAAAAAATGAGATACTTCACAGCAATCAAGAGTCTGAAATCATTCTTTTACAAACATTAATTAATATAAATTAATGCAAATATTAATACAAATGCAATTAATTCAGTACTTAAAATAGCAGGCTAAAATTTGAAAATACATCAAGAAAAAAACCCTGTCAGATTCATATATAACTTTGTACTCCTGTCCTATTTATTGTCAGATGCATAAACCTAGCAATAGGCAGGATCATGTACTATATAGATTTTATTGGATTTCTTGTATACAAACTTCTTTTGTTACAGACTTTTTAAATTACTTGCTTAATTTTTTAAACTGTTCATAATCATTATTGCCAAGAATGTTCTAGCCCTTATTTATTAATTAAATTTGTTTGCCACAGCTTATGAAGTATAAAGCAGTGGTTCTGTTTATTGTTGGAAGGCAGGGAACAATACTAGCTAAAAGTGGCCTAAGTAACTGCCTAAATAGCACTTTAGAAATGTTCTAGCTATGCGATATGCTATCTTAGACTAGGGTACTAGATCTTTGGGAAGCTGTGAAATGATTCAAATATAGGAAATGTTAACTATATGTCTTGGATGCAGCTAAATGTAAACTAGGCCTAACAATCACAGAAGAATCCAAGGATGAGTAGGACTACCATATCAACAGACAACCTCTAGATAGTATCTCCGAGATATAGAAAAGTTTACTTATTTGTTGCCATTTTGTGTCATCCTGATGTTTTACAGCCTAGATAGAATGGCCCTAGTGAAACCATAAGATAATTTCAAAGGAAGTAAGCTGCCTATTCAGTCAGACAGAAAAGGAAGTAAAAGAAAAGGAAAAGTTTGTTTTTGATAATTCTTGAGTGATGATCATAAGACTTGAAGAGATTAAAATTGAAGCACAATCCAAACAGTGAGTCATAACCAACTTGTGAACTGGAAAATGTCAAGCTAATTGTTAAACTAAACATTTGAGCTTCTTCTTCTTCAGTCTGGGTGCTGTTTAATCATTTTCCTGTAGCCCAATCCCACAAGTGTTTATTTTTAAACACTTCCTTGTAAAAAAAAGTATTAAGACATAGTGGAAGAACAAGTGGGACCAAATGACCTACACAACTACACAGTCATCAGGCAGATGTCTGACAAAGAGACAAATCAAAGCCTATGATGGCTCTTTGGAATCTCTTCACCTATCACTTTCTGAGACCTAAGAATGCCATTTTTGCCCTAGGCAAGCAGAATGCCAGGAAAAAGCACATAAAAGTTCCTTGTTCCTAGAAATGAATGGATTGATGATCCAGTCAAACCTGTAGTTTCAACAGTTGTTTTCAAAGAAACCCTTTGTTATTCATATAAGCCATGCACATACATTTCTTCATGCCAATCTTTTGTAAACAAATATTAAAGGATCACAACCTTATGACCTGTCTTCTTAAGCATATAGTATTCAGCATACATAAACATTAAACATATCATTTTAGTATTCACAAATTACTACTTAAACTATTAAAGTCTTCAGCAATTTGTCAGTAGTAGCTAGATGTGGAAGAAGAACGAATTCAAAATAATTACAGCAGTAAAAACAATAAGTCACACTAAAAGTTATGCATGGTTAAATCATGTTTCTATGTTCCCATGAAATGGATATGACTGCCAATATCAATTGGTTAAAATAAACAATTACTTCAGAACAACCATCCTGATATTTAGTTATCTTACTATTCCTGCTCAAGTATCCTTATTTTTTCAGTGAAATAGCAAGTCAGTTTCTTCCATTACTGGAAGCTTCCGGAAGAGGTAGAGCTAACTGAAGATGTTTCTGAAAAAGTGAAGCCAACAATTGCAGAAAAGACCAAAGAGTGGTGAATACACCTGTTCATTGAAAACTTTCTAGAGACAACAGGATGTCACCATATATGCTTTGACCCATGCAGAGATTTCAGGATGATATTTTTGTATGGATTTTTGTGTCAGGAGATAATGGGATTATCCATCTTGCTCACAAGTGCAGCAGAGACTTTCAAAGGACACAAAGTTTGCAAACTTCATTTTCTAATCACCCCTAAAATCACTCATTAACCACTTTTAAGTTATTTGTGACATGTGAGTGTATGAAAATGAAAATAAAAAATTTGTGAGAGATAGAATGACAAGTTTGAAAATGTCAGGTGAGTCTATGTTTAATCTTGAATGAAAGAAATCTTTAATTATAGAGTCTGAAATTAAAAAGTCTGAAATAAACAACAAAAAGCTAAATTTATATCTTAGAGAGATATAAATGGACTGGAGGTCCAGAAAAAAATGGAACATTGAAACTTTTACAAAAATCATTTTGGAAATAATTATAAAGTACAAGCTGTTGCTCATGAGAAATAGATCCTGTTTTGATTTGTATAAGATATAGGCACAAATAAACAATTTCATGATTTCAAAAACAGGAAGAGTCAAAAACTAGAAGAGTCTAAAGATTTTAGGCAGAGAAAAGTTATATAGGCCTGAAAAATGATTATGACAATAAAAGTACTAAAGAGATTTCTGAAGAATGAAATCAGAAAATAACAGCTGCAGTATCAATAATGTCAATCATGATGTCTCTTCTATGGATGGATTAGGTCCAAAAATATTATTGAAGAAATGTGTCTGTCGAAACAAGACATGGATTTATAACTGACAGGCAAAGAGAATGATTCCGAAAAGGATGTTTCACAGAATCTACAAAGGAAACTAAAAAATTCTGTGCAATGGGACAAATAAGAAATGAAAAGGAATCAAATCCTACAACAAAGTTTGAATGAACTAAAGATTAAGACTGCTAAAAGCAAAAGGAAGGAACAGAATGTCACTTTACTGAACATAAAATAAGATATGCTGTTACTTCTGGCTACTTTTTTGGACTTTCTACTGACACCAATACTGAAGGTGATAAACATTTTTAACTAGAGAGAGAACTGAAGTGACAGGTCACATCAGCGCAGCTAGTGAAATTTCAATTTATAGTTTCCTGTTCCTTAATTTGCACTTCATTGACACAAACTCCTGGCTTAAATGGGAACTAAATAATGTTGGGTTTTTTTCTAATTCTAATTTTTAAAGTTGTCACAAATGGAGGACTAATTCCCGTAGCTACTTGTATGATTTGAAATTAAAATACTATGTGAGAGAACAAGGAACGAATTTCCTGGATAAATCCACTCATATTAATCAACACTGAAATCAAACCTCTATCAATGAGATAAATCTTAAAGCATCTCCAGAGATCCCCCTTGAAATATGCAATGGAGGGGAGGGGGGAACACTGTGAATAGTACTCAGTTTTTCAGTTTGATACTGTTAATCCATACCTGTTTACAAAATCTCAGAAAACCAATTGAGTATGTCTTTCCCCATAAGCAACAAGTCCCATACATGCAGCTGGACCTAAAAGCAACAGGACAGTAGGTCAAATTAGAACAAAATAAAATTGTATGTGGAACTGGCTTAATAAAATAAATATATGTTTATGTATATAACAAGGGAATTACAATGTGGTATCTCTTTTAAGTAAAATCTGTCAAAGAAGCAAATAAACAAAATAGGCACACAAACATTTCTTTCACCATGCTTTTCGTGCCAAATTAAATCTGCTCCTTTTACTGCTCTAAGACAAAACTTTTACTTATTTCAATAGAGCTACACTACATTATTTGTATTTCTAGAGTATTACAAATTCCACAAATTCTCAGTGTGGAACCTGTTAATTTCAATGTTAATTTGAAATAGGAACAGAATAGAAATGGCATTAGACAATGTGAATGATTAAAATTAAATTCTAGCTGGATTAAGAACAAAAAGGCTACTAATATTACAATCCAATCCAATTAATCAATCAGCTGAAAGCAGATATTGATAAGGTGAACACATTTTGTTCAATATCAGGGCTACTTTTATTACTAGTTTCTTTTCGTTTTGGATTCCTTACATCTTTTATACTTTTTATATATCACAAGAGTTGCAATTAGGTGTCTTATAAATATAAATTACCATCTCCTTGTTGAGTGCCCGTTGTAGAAGAGATAGAACAAATGCTACAATTAATATCTACCTAGTCTTTCCCCCACCAAATAGAGAATGATTATATTGCAAAGTATCTGAAAGAACTGCTTACAAAAATATGGGAATACAAATGAAGCATCTCTCTTCAAATCATTAAAGCAACTGCGTCCTTTGCAAGAGTTAAAACAATTTTCGGTTGTAGAAGCCTTGAAAAAGGCAAAACTCCTGAACCATTCAAAGTGACTGCTTCCTTAACAATCCATATGGCACAAAGCACCTCTTTCAAATCTCCTGCAGTCCTAAAACATATAAAATATGCATATGTATATATTTAGATACCAGATACTCACTCTATAGGCTTTCCTCTTATCTCAGACATGATGGAACTCTCTCCACCTAGGTACTCATAGCAGAGGCTAAGAAAGTTATAGATGACAAAAGCTGCAAAAAAGAAATAAGAGAGAGAGGGAGGGAGGGAGAAAGGAAGGGAAGGAAGGAAGAAAAAAGAAAAACACATATTAAGCTAGTAAAATACCACTCAGTATAAGCAAAAATGTCACTGTAAGAAGAGGTCACTATAAGAATGAGTGTTTGAAAAATGCCCTTTATGATTTTTGTACGTGCTTGTGATTTTTTAAAATTGCTGTTTCAATAATGGGATGTGCTCTTTTAAATGGCTCATTTAAAAAAAACAAGTTGGAGATATGATGGATGTTGCTAAACACTATAATACGAAAAAACCATTATTGGCAGCTACAGCAAATAAATAGCTCAAGACAAAATGATTTGCTTGTTGCCATGGCTAGCAGAATAAACAGAAATGGTGGGGGGAAAGCAATAAGGAAACCTATATAGCATTTCATAATACACCCATTCATGTATGTAATGATCATTAAATGAAATTAGAAGACAATCAATTAATGCTTCCACTAGATAAAATTTATCTCAAAATTCTGAGCTTTGATTTGTTCTTTTAGAAAGTGCTGTGCAACTGAAAGAAAACCTGCAGCATTTAATAAGTAACATGTTCAGATGTCTTGTTCAGTGCAATGTAAACATATTTTTAGAATCATAGTGCTCTCTAGTGTTTGTGACATTGTTAGTATGTTCAATGAAGAAGTGACTTAACAAGGTTTCTTATCCAAATACTAGTCAGCTATTACATGGGTAAACTTGTTCATAAAAAAATAATAAAAAAATCTGCCCTTTAGAATAAAATAGTGTATTTTAGCCCGATTATAACATTTCAAAGAACATAGGTTAACCCAGCTTTTAAAAGGTTTTATAAAGAGAACAGTACAAGTTTCTGCTCGCCTAAAATAATAGTAGTTTCCCAGCACTCATAATATAATTTGGTGAGTTCCTAATTCAAATTTCTCTCTCATCCAAAGGGAATAGTTGCCAGAATCTACCCATTATAACACCTTACATGTCTATTTTCAAAAATTATTGAGAATACATACATGAGGCCTTTCAGCACCTGAAATGTCACATACTGCTATCAACAGGAGAATTAGCTTTAGTCTTAGTTAACTGAATAAACTGTTATGGAATCACAAATTTCTAAGAACATATCTTCTCAAATAATCCGTAACAAAGAGAGTTATTTAAGCTATGGTATATTTTCCCAGTTATTTGTGGCCAATTTACTGTTTTGCTAGTGGATTGTTGCTGGCAGTTTCAACTATCATATGATATACTGAATTGCAAATATGAGCATCTTAATTTTTTAATCCTGTAATTATGTTGTAAGATATCACTATGATTTCGTTCCATAGTGTTTACATGCAACTAAGATGACATGCGCAGGATGATGGCTCTTATATACTTCCTTCTTTGAAAAGAATAAATAGTAAGAATGACATGAAGGAAGGTAGGAATGAAGGCCTTCTTGGGTGACTAACAGAGGAAAAATAAATGACATTGCTATAGGTGTGTACTATAAGACACCCAACCAAGCAGAGGAAATAGATGAATTCTTTGTTAATCAGTTAGCCCAGGTGTGCAGGAAACACCACTGTAGTAATGAGATTTTAACTATCTTTACATCAATTGAGAAACAAATTCTGCAGTGAGTAGATTAAACAGATTTCTTATGTGCCTAGCTAACAACTGTGTCACCTGAAAGGTAGAGGTGGAAACTAGAAGGTCCGCTATAATGAACTTAATCCTAACTAATAGGGATGGAATGATTGAAGGATTGGAAGTTGTAGGAAATTTGGGGGAGAGTGAATGTAGGAGATGACCAGGCTGAGCCTGAGGGAGGGGTCAAATGCATCCTTAATCACTCCCCTTTGTGCCCATAAGAGATCTAACTCCAGCCTAGCTTGAATACCATTAACTTTTATCTACCTCCAACTTGCTTTGACCGTAATTCAATAGAATAGAATAGAATTCTTTATTGGCCAAGTGTGATTGGACACACAAGGAATTTGTCTTTGGTGCATATTTGGACATATAAGGAATTTGTTTTTCATGCATATTCATATTCTTATAGAGAGCTTCAGCATACAATAAAACTATGTTTTCATTTGATCTCCCTGGATTCCTGATATCCTGCATTTGACAGTGACCAGGTTATATACTAAGATTTGCCACAATGTAGGCACAGGTGACTGAACAAAGTCAGACTAGTGTTTTAGACATTAAGAGAGGTGACTTCAACAAACAGAGAGAGATGAGAAAGGATTCCATGGATGGAAATCTTAGAAGAAAAAACAGTTCAGGATGCATGGGAAACTCTGAAAAACAAAAATACTCCAAGGCCCAAAAGAAAAACAAAAGACACCAGATGAGACCAGCATCGTTGCTCAAAGAGCTCTCTGACAAACTGAGGCACAAGAAGGACAAGTATAAAAAGGGGAAAGAGGGACACATAACTAAAACAAAATTAACAGCTCAAATCTGTAAGGATGGAGTCAGGAGGGCTGAGGCTCTGAATGAACTAAATCTTGCAAAATAAAATGCCAAAAAAATAGCAAAAATAGTTTACTTCAATATAAGAAGAAAAGTCAAGAAAACGATCAGTCCACTAATGGGAGAAGATGGTAAGAAGGTGACCAATGAATCAACGTAATTCCTTCTTTTCATCTATCTTTACGCAGAAGGGGAAAATAGCCCAACATCTTCAACTTAAACTGCTTAGAGAGGGCTGTAAAGCACTATAAAGCAGTATATAAGTCTAAGTGCTATTGCTATTATCAATAGTAGCATAGTGGGAGACAGAACAGAGATGCAGGTCAAAGTAGGTAAGAAATTATGCTGTCCAGGGAGTCTTTATCCTCCTAGAAAGTAGACATTATTTACAATTTTATATTTATTTATTTATTTGTTTGTTTATAAATAACAAACAATATAAAAGCAGGAGTCTATCATAAGATGTTTTCAACGGGATACAACAATCTTATGTCCATTTTACCCAGAAAGGAATTAACTTCCAAGAAGATATATAAGATTGCGTGGAAATGTCTGCAAATAGCTTGGCCACAATATTTTTATTATCAAATATGCTTATTATTTACAAATTCTAGAACTAATGTTTCTCATCAGATCGCTATCATCAGGCCATGTTAAGAAAATTAAGAAACAAACAAAAAAGTGATGTGGGGAAGATGAAAGGAAGAACTGAATACATTTGGCTTGCATATATATTTTAACACTTAAAAAACATTTAATATTAAGTACTGAATGTGTTCATTTACTTTTGTATAAGGGCAGTCTTTCCCTAGCAAAAAACAAAAACAAAACCACCTCCCTTAAAATGAAGGCATTCTTCTCCTTGTCTGCTCTTGCTTTTTCTAGAAATAGTTCTGAACAGTTCATGAGCAGAAAATACAGAAAGGGAGGGGAAATAAAACACCATTAACACACAGGATATTGAACTGGACAAAGTGGCAAATTTTAGAATATGAACTGACCCTCCAAGCAGATGTTATGATGTTTGCAATCTCCCTAAGCGAAGCAAAGGGAATAATGGCTGTTGCTAGGAGATGAGATCTACAGAACAACAGGCTTCTTCCTATGACTTTGTATTTAGACATAAACAGTAGTGGGTAGGAATGGGGACACTCAACCAAACAAAAATAATTTCTGACTGTGCAATTGCTTGATTTATATCCTGCCTTTTTGCAGGAGGCTTAGGACAGCTTACAAAAAACCCCTGTATTCATTTTATTTGAATAACATAACTCAGTGAAGTAGGTTGGACAGAGAATATGTCACTGGCTCAACGTTACTGAGGAGTGTATATTTCTGCAGTTGGGTATCATATTCCAATGAATTGTTACAACTATGAAGGATTCCACATTTCTCTAAAAGAAAGAATTTGGGATCCATCATAGTCTCTTGTGAAAGGAAAATAGTCTTATTTCATCCCAAGTGGTGCAAGCAAAAAATCACACCCCCAAATCCCAAAATAAAGGAATATGGCATAATGACAGAAAGGAGAAAACTATACTAGAGAGGCGGACTCTGAAGGCTCAAGCCACCACACTTCAGGAGTTCAGATGAATGAATTGGCTTCAAGTGCTGGAGGATTAGAGCAGGGCTTCAAACACACATTATCTTTAACAGTCAGCAGATTTCAAGGGAGAATGTGTTATGGTGGTGTTCTCAGACCTTCACCGCAGTCGGTGTGTAGATATCTTGCTCAGAAAACAAAAGTAAAAGCAATCATTCTCACAGAGCTCTTTCCTACAGTCATGTATTTCTGTACATTTCAGTCCTTTGATATCTGATTGTATTCTGCTTGGGTCTCTCTTGGAGCTAGAGGATATGCTAGAGAATCTGCACTAGTGCTGTGAGAAACAAACCTCAAACTTGGGGATTGGTTCTTTGCAAGTCCTTATGTTTGGGCCTAAGTCTGTGGATATCTTGATTTAGCCACCTCCTAGTCATCCTCTTACTCTTAGGATGAGTCACCTAAGGAGGGCATGACATCAATTCCCTTAAAGAGCTTGTCTCAGAACAAAAAAGATGTCATGCCAAAATGCTTTTAAGATAATCATGTTCTGGAAATGAGAATATCTATTCTCTTGAATTGTGTGTTCAAATGAACCATAGCATTTTTTTAAAAAATAGGAGTGACATTTTTTCTGCTTGTATTGTTATCATTGTATTCTGATAATGGATACAAATGCATTAATTTTAGATTGAATGTTTTCTGTGTCAATTTCCTGCTACAGAGGTTAAAGAAAGGCCCAACAGGATTCTTGGCCTAAAACTAATCAATAAAGAAGAGCTAGTTAAGAAAACCTGAGTTAAGTACACTCAAGGGAAAGTCACCATGGAATGATTTTGACTTTAGGAGAAACTAAAACTGACCACCATCTAACATGTATCTTGGTTTTCCAAAAAGTGAATTTTATTTAATTCTGAGAAATAATAACTAGGACCCTATGATAGGAGAAGCTGGTAGGAAAAGGGGTCCTACAATGTCAATGTTTCTAAATAAAGCGCCATTAAAAACACAATTATAAATAATTTGAATAACAGAGGAGAACATAAAGAAGCTGGAGTAGCTGTACAAAAAGCTTGCAGCAGACTTGAAAGCAAGAAACGATACACAAGAAACTGAAAAGAGGATGACATTCAGAGGCGGTATTCAGCTGTTGTATCCAGTTTGGGCAAACCGGTAGCGGCTGCGGAATGCTCCATCCACCCGCCCTAGCGTAATGCCCGACCATCTGCGCATGCACATTTGTGAACCGTAAGTGAATCCCACCACTGAGGACATTTGTGTGGTCATAAAGGAAGATGGGAAGCCTGGAATTATAGAGCAGGAAAGAGAAAGCTCATAATGAGCTCAGCTTAGCAAAGGAGGCAGTGAATATAAAAAAGGTGAACATTTTTAGATATGTTAAAAATAAAAGAAAAATGAATGAGTATATTAATTGCTCAATGATGGTGAAAAAAAGTTTAAGAAACAGAAAATGTAGAGCTTTTGGTTGCTACTTAATTCAAACAAATCATACATGATCTAGTATGATATTACAATAGAGAGAAAAGGCAGGCCTGATGCTTGAGTTAATACAAACATAGTCAGGAAATGTTTGTTTATTTTCAGTTACTTTAAATTTCCAGATGCTGGTGATTGGTTTCCTGAAATACTGAAAAAAATGTGCTGATGTCCTGGTTCCACGCTTTCTAAAGTGTTGTTTTTGTACCAATACTGAACTTAGAAAAAAAAAATCCACCCTTAAAATGTATATAAATAACTGCAATTTTTCTCTTTTGACTAAAGCAGGGGTCCCCAAACTTGGCAACTTTAAGCTCGTTGGAGAATTCTGGGAGTTGAAGTCCACAGGTTGCCAAGTTAGAAGACCTCTAGACCAGTGTTTCTCAACCTTGGCGACTTTAAGTCCTGTGGACTTCAACTCCCAGAATCCCCCAGCCAGCACAGCTGACTGGGGAATTCTGGGAGTTGAAGTCATTAAAGTCCCCAAGGTTGAGAAATACTGCTCTAGACTAAAGTATTGGCAATAGGGTGACCTTCTACTTTAAAAAAAAAAAAGTATTTTAAGGCAAAAGTTTGTTGGGAAGAAGGCGGGGCTTAGCAGTGAGAAGATGGAGTTTTAGGCTACTCCTGAAATTCCTC